ATTAATCAATAGTTTTATCACTTGTTAAAAACTTTACCGATTTTATACCTATATTTTTTAGACATATCGGAATACTTATAAATATTTCGATAGCCATATCAGGATTTTTGATAGGCCTATCGATTATTCTGATAGGTCTATGATTTTTAATAACTAATATTGATAACATATCGACTCCTGATAGGTTTCTGATATTTATCCAATATGTATATTCCTGATATAGCTTCATTCAACCTATGTTATATAGCAAGAACAAAATTAAGCACTTTAATTAATAACAATAATCGTTATAATTACCTACTAAATTGAAGTAAAACTAATAAATTACATGTACTGGTAAATTCTTATAAATTTTGAATAGCATTTTTTAAATTTTTAGTTAATAAATATTCTATATATACTAAATTAATATGAGTGAAAATAAATATCCATGAACTTGATTATCTCAAGCACTTCAACTAGTAAATCTTCTTTACACTCATCCACAAAAAATAAACAATTAAACAGAGATATCTTGTATTTTAAATAACTTGATTAATAAATATTCCCTACATTCACTAAATTAATACAGATAAAAATAAAGTTATAATAGTAAATATTCGTGGACTTACTTTAAGTACTTTAGCTAACAAATATTCTTTTGTTCATCACTAAATTGACACAGATAAAAATTAAATTAATTGAATGAATTTGAATAGCATGTTTTAATAACTTCTTGATGCTTGCTAAATTTATAAAAATAAAATATGAAATGTTTTAATTAATAAAAATTCTTTATATTCATTCACTAAATCAATATGAAAAAATTAAACCAGTTAGATATTTTGTAATAGTAAACCTTCATGAATTTGAATAGTTTATTTTAATAAGCATTCTTTATACTACTAAATTAATGCAGATAAAATAAAATTAGCGAGCCATTCATAATAATAAATATCTATGAACTTGAAAGCACTAATTTGCAAATATTTTTATGCTTATCTACTAAATTAATACAAATATAATTAGGTGAGAATTTTGTAATGATAAATTCTTATGAATTTGAGAAGCTTATTCAAAATAATTCAATAAACATTATTTATATCACTAAATTAATGAAATAAATGAAATTAGCGAGGCACTCATAGTAGTAAATATCTATGAACTTAAAAATGCTGATTGTAAATATTCTTATACTTATCTACTAAATTAACATGAATAAAATTAATCAGACATTTTGCAATAGAAATTGTTATGAATTTGAGTAGCTTATTTCAAAATATTTTAAGCAATAAATGTTTTTTATACATTAAATTAATACAAATAAAATAAAATTAGCAAGCATTTATAATAGTAAATATCAATAAACTTGAAAATGCTGATTAGTAAATATTATTATATTTACCTATTAAATTAATACGAATAAAATTAGTCAGGTATTTTGAAATAGTAGATTGTCATAGCCTATTTTTAAACTATTTCAATTAATAAACATTATTTATACCATTAAATTAATATGAATAAAATAAAATTGATGGGCATTCATCATAATAAACATCTATGAACTTGAAAGCACTGATTAGTAAGTATTCTTATACTTACCCATTAAACTAATACAAATAAATTAGTCAAGTGTTTACAATAGTAAATTCTCATGAATTTGGGTAGCTTAATTTAAAATATTTCAATAAATATTTTCTATACTACTAAATTGATGTGAATAAATAAAATTAGCTAGACATTCATAATAGTAAATATCTGTGAACCTGAAAGCGCTAATTAGCAAGCATTCTTATACTTGCCTACTAAATTAATGTGCAATGACAAGTTGAGTAGCTTAATTTAAAATACTTCAATTAATAATATTCTTTGTACTACTAAATTAATACGAATAAAATAAAATTAGCAAGACTTTTGTAATAGTAAACACCTGTGAGCTTAAAATGCTGATAAAATACTTCAATTAGTAAATGTTCTTTATATCTCTAAATTAATACAAATAAAATAAAATTATCAAGACATTCATAATAATAAATACCCATGAACTTGAACAACTAATTAGTAAAATATTCTTATACTAATCTACTCAATTAATACAAATAAAATTAGCCAATATTAATTGTCATGAATATGGGTAGCTTATTTCAAATACTTCAATTAATAAATATTCTTTATATCACTAAGCTAATATGAATAAAATAAAATTAGCAAGACATTTATAATAGTAATATAAATAGACTTGAAAATGCTGATTAGTAAATATTTTTATACTTACCCACTAGATTAACACGAATAAAATTGATTAGATATTTTGCAATAGCAAATTGTTATAAATTTGAGTAGCTTCTAGCTTACTTTAAAATACAGTCATATCTGGGTTATAGCACCTTTTTTCTTTAATTTTTTGAGATATAACTTCAATTAATAAATATTTTTTATACAGTATAACCTCGATATATCGAATACTAATTGTATAACTAAGATCATTCCTAACTCTTATATTTAAGTTAGCCTCGATATAATGAACTATATATTAATAAATTTAGATATAAAGAAGTAAAACTTTCAGCTCTAGAGCTTTGTTATATCGAAGTTATGCTGTACTACTAAATTAATGCGAATAAAATAAAATTAGCAAGGCATTTATAATAGTAAATATTCATTAACTTAAAGTGCTGATTAGTAAATGTTCTTATAATTACCTACTAAATTAATGTGAATAAAATTAAACTAGTTAGGTATTTTGAAGAGTAAATCCTTATAAATTTAAGTAGCTTATTTCAACATACTTCAATTAAGGAATGTTCTTTATATTCTCTTAATTAATGTAAATAAAATAAAATTAGCTGGCATTCATAATAGTAAATATTTATGAATTTGAAGAGTTGATTAGTAAATATTATATTTATCAACTAATTTAACGCAGGTAAAATTAAATTTTATACATTTTACAAGGATAAATCTTCATGAATTTGAATAGCTTATTTTAAAATAATTCAATTAATAAACATTCATTATTTTCTCTAAATTTTAATGTGAATAAAAAAATAAAGATTTTTGAGCCTCGTTAATTGATTTAAATACTTGGTTAGTAAACGTTCTTATACTCATCAACACGAAAAGTGAAATTAGTGATACAGTTAACTTTTTCTATAATGAACTGATGGTTCTTGAATAAAAGTTCACTATAGAAAATTATTATGATTTCTTAAGAACCATTGCACTTTTTATACTGAATTATTATAAAAATTTTAAAATTTTGAGTTTGTTATATCCAGAGTTTGTTATATAGAGATTTGTTATATCCAGAGTCAACTGTATTTTTGTAATATTAGAGTCTTCAAAATTTGAATAGTCTGTTTAAATATTCCAATTAATAAGTGTTCCTTATATCACTAATAATACGAATAAAATGAATTCAAGAGGCATCTAGAATTAAAATAATTATTCTAATACTTCTATTAATAAACGCTTCCTATATTCATATAAGAATAAAATTAGTATTTTTGTAATGAAAAACTTCATGAATTTGAATATTTATTTAAATGGTAGCAAACTTTCTTTATACTCATCTACAATATTAACACAAAAAGTGAAAGCTAGTGAGATACTCTAATATCCTATTCTAAAATACTTCAATTAATAGATATTTTTATACTCTAATCATTGCGGATAAAATCAATTTTATGAGTCACCTCATAATAGAACGATTCATAATTTAAGATGCTTGATTAATAAATATTTTTATACTTACCCTCTAAATTAATGTGAGAAGTGAAATTAGTGAGAAGTTTGAAATAGTAAATATTAAGTGCATTGATTAATAGTTTTCTTCATACTTATCTAATATTAAATAAAAATAACATGTGTAAAAAAAAATAAAAAATAAAAATAAAAATAAATAGATTACATATTTTATAATTGCTTATCTTCAAACGTAGTAAATAAAATTTAAAACTAAAATTTAAGTAGATTATATCCTTAGAATATTAATTAGATTTTATTTAAATCTTTTTTTGTTTATTAGTACAAAAATATACTAAATTTAAATTTTTTTATTTAATTGATCAAATTGCAATATAATCTGATTTAAAGAACTTTCTAACATAGAGATATAAGCCTTTATCCTTTCAACAACACTCCAGTACCTATCACGTACTCTCTTAGTTAATTTAACTACAGCAAATCTTTGACTTTCAGCTTTTTTTTGTTGCTCGATTCGTATATATTCTACAAATGATTTGTGACTTTCATAAATCTCAAATCCACTTTCTTCGAATACTTCTTGAAATAACTTCCATATATCAATGGTCAATAGTTTAGTGCTACCATACATATGTTTATAAAAAATATGCTTGCATAGCAACAAATATTTGTTGCAGAACAAGCAATGACAATTGAGAGAAGCTAGACCCTTTCCTTTTTCAAGTCTAGTAATTATAGCACAGGCCTCTTTAATAAGCATGTATTGAAATGAGAAAGAGAATTTGTAGATTTCTTCAAGAATTTTATTTTCTACGCTATGAGCAGTCACTTTTTTAATATGAAAATCAAATGCAGCACTTTCATATTCAGATTTTTTTTACAATCAATTATAACAATATTATATACTGTACCTAAAATAATCGAACAAATAAGAGATAGGTATTAAAAAAAAAAAAAATGTAAATAAACAAAAAAAAAAAAAAAGGTAAGAGACGATGATTTTCTGTACTAATCTCATTTGTGTTATTTATATATGTTTTATATAATTGTTACAAGTTTTTTTTAAATATATTAAATTTTTAAAAAATTCTTTTTAAAAAGCCCGTCTCTCCTTCTCTTAATATTCCGATTTATTTAAAAAAATCGCAAACCATCTCTTTCTTTGTCTTATTTTTTTAAAAAAATCCCTCCCACTCGTGTTCTCAAAAATTTTAAAAAAGAATTTAAAAAAAAATCAAAAAAAAATTTTAATTTTTTAAAATAGAAATTTAAAAAAAAAAACAAAAAAAAAATTAAAATCAAAAATTCCACCTTTCATGGTAATTATCTAAAAAGTTTCTGTTCATGTATGTAATGCAAAAATCATCATCCCGAGTACGCATACAAGCAAATAAAATAAAAGAAATGCTGGTTTACAAATTAAACTATGCAATGAAAATGTTATTCTCTTCAGTTCACTGTGAAATGATTCCAAGGGATTTGTTGATATAACTTGTAGAAGCAGGATAAATGCTGGCGAGCCCACAAACTCTATTAGTGTATATTTTTAGCATAGTTTCTCTTAATGTAATTTTTTATAGCTAGAATAGGACAACTATTGATAGCATCTTGGACAAGATTTTCATAGCCAATTTTTGTTCTTTTGTGCATTGCCGCAACTATAATATCACAGGTTTTTTTTATATATTTTTTGCATCCAAGTTCTCATAATATAAACAATGCAAAAAATTACTTGGCACTCTTGCTCACTAGCTATTAGACCAGGAAAAACTTTTTGAATACTTTTAGCCTCAATGCTACTTTGATCTGAAAGTATGTAACAGGGCAACCAATTACAGTACTTATTATGAATAATTAACAATGCCTCTGTGACAGTATCACTATCCTTACTGTTAACAAAAAAGTGAGCACCAATAGCCCAACATTTATAAGTATCACGAATATAAAGAATAAATAGACGCCAATCATATCAGTTTGTTTTGTGGATTGAGTCTATTAATGTCAACCACCTGTGATGTTCAAGCTTTTTTAGTTGATCTGAATGCGCGAACACAATACTTTTAGTTGACTGCTGAGATATACAATAACTTTTAGCAAGATACCCTTGTTCTATTAAGTAGGATATGGATTTTGAAATATCTAATTTTAAATTTGAATTGCTAATAAGATGGGTTTCTATAGGTTTACAGACTTTATATTTAATATTCGTTACTTCTTTGTACTTTAACTCACGCATACATTCACTAAGTCCTAGCTTTACTGTTGCATATTCTTTTATTGCAGCTGTAATTGCTGGTGGTGAATAATTTTTGATTGCCTCTTGTTCAACTAGTATTTTTATAGCTTTCGGTTATTTTATTCTATTGATTTCCATTAAGGAATATGTATAGTCTGGAGAATTTTTATATCATTCTATTCGAACTACACATGAAGAGGTGAACTAGGTAACTTTGATTTTTGTATTACAAAGACCAGATAGTCGTATGTTCGTTATTCTGTATTTCTCATTAGGGATGTTTTCTTTCTGTCTAGTACTTGATGCCTGATGCTTCATAAAATGACAAATGTAAATCTTCTACATATCACTATTTACAAACTTGTATGAATCCCATTGAGTCCAAATATTTGTTATTAATGGCCACCAATTATTATTAAAATTATCTGTTAGAATTTTTAGTGAACTGTTAATATCAAAAAGGAGATCTCGTTTTTCGTCTGGAGTAAGGTCTAGTGGTAGTGTAATTACTAAAGCAACAATACTCACAAGAGGTGAAAATACTGTAAACATAATATTCAGAAATTAGAAGACATAATATTTGAAGAAAATGCAAGTGCAATATCCAAGAAGAATATAAATACACCATTTAAAGAAGAAGTAAATATAATACTCAAGGAAGCAATAGATATAATATCCAACATAACAATCGAAAGTAAAGAAGCTATTCTTATTTTTTGTTTTTTCAAAAACTAAAAAAAGAAGAAAAATTAGTATTCAATTATAATAAATAGAAGTGAGTATATTAATATATTTGTATACAAATTTATAAACCTAAGACTATGCAATCTATTTTGAGCCTTGAAAAATATTTTTATATGAATATAAAAAAAAACTATCTGAATAACTTTATAAAAAAAAAAAAAAAAAAATCTAAGTATTTCAATGACTTTTTTTTAAAAATATATATATATATATGCAGTCTATGTATATATATAAAAATGAGGCTGCAAGATATTTATATTATATACTGAGCTAGGCAAAAAAAAATCTATAAAACAAAATTAAACCTTATAGCTTCATAAGAAAAAAATCACGATCAAAAAAAAAAAACAAATCGAAATGTAATGCCTCTAAGATAAATACATTGTGCTGCAATATTAACAAATTGCAAAATCAAAAATCTAATACTGTATTGTATATTAACTAATTATAGTCCTAACCAATCACGATCAACATGCTTATCATATGATTTTCCTTCGCTTTAGACGTCTTTCAAATATAGAAATAATAAACAATATCAATCTTTTGACGTGAAGTAGCCAAATTTCCTACTTTTTGTCAAAAATTAGTTTTGAAAATATCAAAGTAGTGAGAGAAGTTGTGGTTTTGTGAATTTTTAACTAAAGAAAGTTTTTCTAAAAGTTTGCTATGTCTTTTTGTTTCCAAACTTCTTGAGTTTTCTTTTCTACTTGCTATTCTCAAAGACTCTTCTGGTTTGGATGCCAAATACAAAAGAGAGTTTATCTCAAAAAAAAAAAACAAGACTTAATTCTTTTATAAACTGTTTAAAATACCTACTTCTCAATATATTATATTTAAAGACTTTATAGACAACAGTTTGTATCAAGAAAACTTCAAGTTGTTATTAACTTCTAGTCTTAAGTCTTCAACTTGCTTTCAGTACTAGTTGGTCCAAATGATTTTTAGAGAAAGTTGATTGAAAAGTTTATATTTTTTATTATCTAATTTATTTTTTTTAAATATATGTAATTACAATATTTAGTATGATTTTAGTATTACATTTGATAATATTCTGTAATTGGACAATTATTGTAATAGATAGCTGATTTTTATTACTTCAAAATTGATAACAAAGTAATATATTTTTGGTTTGTTTTGATATTGATTCATTTATTATTATATCAAATGCAGATATATTTATTATTTACTAATTTGTTTACTAAAATATAATTCTGAAATGTCTTGATACCAAGTACACAAAGTAGATGTTGATAAAAAATTTTAAGAGAGTTTTTTTTATCAAAAACTCATAAATTAATTATATATATTTAGCAATAAAATATAATAATACTTGGTCTACTTGTAAAATATTTGTTGTAAGTTATATTGTATTTGAAAAATAAAATTTATATTTAATTTAAAAATTAATTTAACTTTGTTACAAAATTTTTTATTAGTGATTTGTTTTGAGTAATAAACTAAAGAATGAATTTCAGTAATATTATTCAATTTTTGACTCTGGAAGTATTGAGCTTTTGCTTCAAGCAAATGAATTTATCTAACAAGAGCTATATTCTTTTGGTAAAACTTTTTATTTTTTTCTAATAATATATTTAATTCTTTTAAGAATTGATGACTAACTTGATGTTTATAAAGAGTTTGTATAAGGTAATTATATATTTTTCTTTGCAAATATAATGATAATATATTTTTTTTAGATAATTTGTGTATTATTAAGGTTAATTAAGTATATTTTGTAGATACTTTGTTAGTTATTACTTTATTAATAGATACTTTATTGGTGGCTACTTCATTGGTAAATATTTTGTTAGAGGTAAAGTTAATACTTAAATTCAGATTTAATAGCTTATATCTAGATTTAATCATTAAATCCAGATTTAATTGTTATATCTGGATTTAACAATGATGTTTAGACTTAGATATATTATTTTTTTATATCTGAAACTGATTTGTAAGTAAACAAAGATAATATACCTGCATATTTAAATCTAGATATTATATATATATCCAAATCTATTGATTAAATTTAGATATAACAATTAAATACAGATATAAGCTATTAAATCCAAATCCAGATATTAACTCTAGTTATGAAATGCAGATTGTTTTTGTAATAATAGATTCTTTTAATTATTTTTCAAGACAAATTTTATTGGTATTTTTTAATTAAAATTGGCACTTATATAACTTGTAAATACCCATGGTTCTTTGAAATAGAAATTTCAAAAATTATTTTAGATGTACAGCCCTTTAAACCGGTTTTGATGAACTCAAATTTTGCACAAATCAAGGTTAGATTCCAAAAAACAAAATTATGAAGCAAAATTTATATTTTCATCAAAAAAAAACCTGTTACTTAAAGTTTTTTTAAGAGAACAAAGAAATGATTTGCACATAAAAGAGACTAGAAAAAAATTTTTTTACCATAGATAATATAAAAATAAATCTCATAACTTTGTAAATATTGTAAGAACGAACCAATTAGTATTAAAATTTTTTGGTAAAAGAATAAATGTAACCTGTGCATCTAAAAAAGTGAGACAAAGTTTTTATATATTAATTATATTTAACTACATTTAATAACCGATCACTAAAAAAATCACTGACTATTTAAAATATTAAGTGACCACATATAGTTTTGATTTACATAGTATATCGGGCACTCCAGTATTATACGTACGTACGTACGTACGTAAATTAGAAAACAAAATATGTAGTTTACGATCATGATCAATTAAAAAAGCATTTCGTAGATTTGCAGTTGTGTTTCGGATGATTATTGATCTCCGGACAATTACTCTTTTCTGATAGTGACAGTAATGATTTATATTATAGTCATTGTTTGTGTTTCTTACATCTTTATTTTTACATTTTTATTTATATATTTGCTGTTAAATAAACAAGAGAATAAAAATTTTTCCGATTTACTCATTCTATTTCACAAATTCTTTCACTAGGGCAAATAATACTTAGTCATTTCCCGGATATTCAAAAATATCATTCTTGATTCAACTTTTATTATTTTAATGTATCAAAAAGGATAGTCAAACAATTGGCTACTTAAACGACTATATTGAAATGCCGGCCATTCAAAAGTGTCGTTCTTGACCTACAGCATATTAGAACAACTTTAAACAATAGGCTGCAGGCCGGCAAATTACTATAGGATTTTAAGCCCTGGTAACGATGTAAACCAAACCCGATAGTTTGGGATTTAGTAGATTCCCAAAGGTTTTTACTAGATTCGAAAATTGTGTCGTAACCAGGGCTTAAACGACTATATTGAAATGCCGGACATTCAAAAGTGCCATTTTTGATCTATAGTATATTAGAAATTAATTGGCTGGTATAGTAAACATAAGATGTACAATACAATAATTTTGATAAATCAAAAAAACCACTTTAAACAATAGCAGTGGCGCAGTAAATGTCCGGCAAATTAATATAGTCGTTTAAGCCCTGGTCGTAACTATGTTGTAACCCAAATTTTATGTATCGCTGGCTAGAGCGCGAATAATAAGGCAAATAAATTGTTATTGTCTAGTGATGCAGGAGAATTATTTCCACAATTGTGAAAATAATTCTCCTGCACTATCACATGCGCCACATTTGTTTCATGTTTATTTCGTAGAGATGATTGGTCCTTGAGGTTTGGGGTTTTGTATTGAGTTTGGGATTACAATAATGGTCGACCTCCGACAATACCAGGGCGGCCCCTCCGAAGTTCGGGTTGATGGTCAATTGTCATTGCTGCAGCATATAATTAGTAAACGATTTTGATTGGATGTTCTGTGTAAATAAGCTGTATTAGCCTACATTATGTAACACATGATATACTTTCGACCAGAATTATATGCTGCGGTAATGACCCGAACTTCGGGGGGCTGCCCTGGTGTCGTCGTAGACCTCCAAACCCAAATTAGGTAGAAAGTCGTAATTGTCCCATACGGGTTTGGTTTACACATCGCTATTCTCGGGTCTGAAAACTAACGCTAAAAAATTATTTCGCACATATGTTCTATTCGTTGATCTTTGGTGTTGCAAAAATCGCATGCACAAAACACTAACTATAAATGTGAAATTATCTCAGAAAGTAACTTGATCTGCATTTATAAACAAACAAATGACGATATGTAGATTCTTTTACCTCCAGAAAACTATGAATTAATTTAACCGAATGCGTATAATAAAATTAATTCTCAGCTCTTTTTAAATTGTGCATCTCGAAATAACGCCCCTGGGCGTTATTTCGAGGCGCCGTGCTCAACATAACTTAATTGCAGCTTTTCCCTTTTCACTAAAAAAAAATTATGGCTTTCATTCTGGATATGCAGTGTATTGTCATTTATTATTATATAGGCTAGGTGCTGAGAAAAGAGAACAAATTAACGATTTTTTCAAAAATCTTTTTTTGAGCTTAACTAATTCAAAATTAGCCCAGAAACATTTTTTACTTAGAATAAATATTATCTTAATAAAATTTTGCAGTATAACTTTTTAAATTTTGTATTTTCTTATAATTTATTATATGGGGAAAAGGTGGCGATGGGCAAAAAAATTTTTTTTGTAAAAATTTTATTTTTGCAAATTAGATTATTTAGAACACGACAATATCAAAAGGGAAGGTTGAAGATCACTGAACCCAGTGATTTCTTCATGATTATCACATCATATAATCAAACACTCGGCCTAAATTAAGGTTATTGTTAGGGTTAGGTGATAGTATAGTTTAGCCCAATTTGTTAGTGTTAGTGAACAAATAACGTCATTTCATGCATCACCTGATTTTGTTTATATTTTTCTGACCAATTAACATTTGTATGCCATAATATACATCATGCGTGATAGTCATACAGGATAGAAGTTATAGTTGCTAATGATTTGATTTTTGTAAAAATTATAAAAAAATCCAATAAAGTATCAATTCACTTATCTTCTAAAATCATAACCTAAAGTTCTTCCAATAAAACTGACAATCATTTCACATATCGATATAAATAAAAGTTGCAGGTGAAATTTGTGATTGCTGGTGAAACTAAATATAACAGCCAATGAGAAACACAAATTAAAACTACGGTGAAACCCAAAATTAGTTT